CATACTTCAGACCACACAGAATACTTTAAATGCATCAAATTAATTAATTTATTTTTTTATTAGACCCACTCACAAGTGTGTGTGTGTAACTTTTCAATCTGTGTGTAAAGCAGAAACAAGGAAGTCATAATCTAAAAGAAACAGACATATTAATCCATTTAAAAATGAACGTCTTTAATTCGGAGCATTGCCGAGATAAGAAGGCTGGGTGTGTGGCACATGGTTTGCTTGATGCTACATCACAGGCACAGACAAGCTTTCACACATTCCTCCGCGGAGTAGATAAAACAACAAAGGGGATGTGCAGGAATGGGTGATGGTGGATGTTTGCCTCACCTCGAATGGGATCCTCTTGTTTTGCCCGGTCTCACTGAAGGCATGGGCGAGGAGAAACACATCATCTACTCCAACTCCCAGAGCCAAAAAGGGAAGCACCTGTGGCACACACACCCACAAACTTAATGAGCTCCTGCATGATTTTACCTCAGAGGTTCGCTATTCTAGGGGTAGCCACAACTGCATATTATTATAGATACACACCCATGCAATATTTTTCAAATTCTGGTGCTAAGGTAAATTAAAATGAAGCGTCAAAACCTGTCTCCAGTGTCCAATAATATCTACTACATTATCGTCTGTACATTATTCTGCTGGTGTTGACCCACTTCAATTAGGCAATTTAAGAAAATGATTTTAAGTCTAGCAGAGACTTCAACTCAAGTCTACTAGCAGCTGCTGTGTTGACCTTTAGCCCATTGGGTCCAGTGGCATGTGTGTGAGTTACCTGCGTAGTGGCAGCATTGAAGGAAATGCCCAGGAGGGAGCAGAGGCCCAAACCAGCTGCCACTGACAACGTCACCAGGAGGACACCTGCCAGCCCCACAGCCCCCTGAGACTTGGCACAGTCCCATCGCAGCATGGTCAGGCATGCATAGGCCAGCTAGGCACAAACAGCAAGCAAACCATTAATCAATCACCCTTTTGTCTGTAAGTCCCTTCTCAGTTTCAAGCAAAGCAGAGAAAAATTGAATAAAATTTTCCTTCCCTCTAGTCTTACCATCAGAAGGTACCCACTGGCCACGCGGATAACACTTATGTCCGAAAAAGACTTGAGAATATCTTCCAGAGTGGTGGTTGTGAAAGATAAGACCTTCTGAGACGAGTTTGCTGACACGCTGTGCTGCACCGCCTGAAGACAAGACAATAGTAAATAAAGAGGAAGAAACTCTTTAAAATAGGATTAAATATCCTATATATACACACTATAAAATATATATGTATATAGATTAGAAATAATAAAATAGGTCACTTATAAATGAACTCTTAATGCAGCACCAGTAGCTCCATCAACATTTAAATCTGGTTTACTGACCAGTAAAGCATTTACTGGTTTGGAACTTTGCAACAAGATTTTCTTATCCCTATCTCATTTTCCCTTAATATACCATCTAGATCTGCATCAGCTATCAAATTACAACTAAATCTAATTTTAGCAGAATAGATAATTGACCAGCCTTGCTGCCGCTTACTCAGTGGTATCTAAAATGCACATTCTGGAAAAAGGGAATTAATTTTCAGTGATTTAGCGCAAGCTGTCCCTCTTTTATGTAATATAACATCTTCCCTAGGTTTAAATTAACTAAATATTACAGGCTGTCTCTGAAAAAAAAAAAGCCTTGAATCAGGAGGCTCTGCAGACAGTATCCTGACCTATTCCCTCTGTCTCTCTTACTATCTCAGGACAGACAGATGGCTTCGGCATTGAACTGCTGTCACTGCTCAGTGGGGAGCAATGACGGCTGACACACATTAAGAAACACGCTCTAGATCACACACACACACTCGCACCCACATGTAAACTTCCACATGTGTCTCACACATACTGACATATTCTTGCAGACACGCCTAAATGTGAATAATACAAATAAAAAATGCAATTTTTGGCATATTTTTTCACTTTGAAGCTTAAAAAAATAAAACTATGTGTTTAAAAATATGATCACATTTTGTTAAAAATCTGTGATTTCTGGACCCAAAGATAAATGACACACGCACACACGCATATTCATACACACAAGGTCACACCATGTGGAACAGAGGTTGGGGCCCCCAAAACAAAGACCAGATGATGTCACACATGAGCCACCAATGGGGCCACAGCTGGGAAAGCGATTGTGTGTGAAGTTGTGAGTGTGTGTTCATGTGTGATTGTGTGTAAGTTTAAGGGGGAGAGCGAGGAAGAAAAAGAGAGATATCCAGCACTCACTTAATGTATTCCAGACATGCTCACCCTGTTGCTCTATTGCCCCTCTCTACTCATGAGTGAGAGGAAAACTTTAGTCCTTTACCACACACCAACAGTGGTTTTAGTATCTATCAGGGGCCCCGGCTTTGGATGGGGCCTTCCCATGTTCACCTGCATCCGGTCTGTGATTTACAACGTGGCTATAGAGGACTTAGGGTAGATTTCGCTACTCTTTTCTCTTTCGTTCTCTCTTTTTCTGAATTTTTCTTGCTCTCATTTCTAAATTTTCTGGCCCTTACCTCAGAGTACCGCCTCTGCCAGGCTTCAAGTATAGCTGCAGCCTTTTCTTCATTCCAGTTGATGTGGGAAACCTCATCGTAGCCCCGAAAGTGCTCAAACATCTGCTTGGGAGTCATCAGCTGGAAGATGGTCTGCAAGGCCTGGGCACTGGAAGGGAGTTAAGGGGGAAGGTGGCAGAGAGAGAATGAGGGAGGGAAATGGGAAGGAAAACATTGAAAGGATGAGAGAACAAAAGGAAGGAGGTCAAGACTTCAGTGAGAACATCCCATCTAGAAAGGAAGCGTGGGGCGATGAGCAGGCTCTCTGGATTGTGGGAAATAATAACAAAATCAAAACTTGGACTTGCAAAGTTTTAGGCTCTTTGATTCACAGCGATGTCTAACACTCCATGAATATAAAGTAAAAATAAATTAGGTGTTCATCAAAATGATGGTCCCTCAAAAGCATCAAACCAACAGGGAGATGAGAGAATAAGATTAAATCATCCCAGGAAAATTTTTAATTTTTCAGTTTAATCTCTAATCCCAGAACAAAGAATGTGTTAATTTAAGCAGTAAAAGGGAAAGAAAAATGAAACAAAACCAAAGTCACATTGCCTGAGCACATTGGATATCAGTCATCATAAACAATGATGCGCTTAGCACATGTGCTGTCTGAGCAAATACTGTTCCATCTGATGTGACT